GGAATTTATACAACCAGTAAAGATCATCTATTGATAATCACCAAATGATGCTTTATCAATCCTGCTGACACTAGCATTCATCTCTGAAGAGGCAGCAGAGATACTTTAAGTCCTGTCCAAACTCCTCAGCTTCCTTACGTCATCAGATACTCCTCCTTTTACTTAAGACAGCAATACAGTCATGTATAGTTTCTGCAAACATTAAATCTTCGCAGTTAGAATAAGCAGCATCAAACCTTGATGATATGAAAATCATACCATAAAACATACAATCTATGAAAACAGAATAAAAAAAATGGGAGAGCCCATGGTACAAATCTAACACTCAGGACGCTGCGTTTGAGAGATACTTATGTTATTGGAGTGAAAAAATAAATTTATAATTACTCATATAACTTTCTGTGGCTCTCACTCACACAAGTGAAAAGGTGATTTCCTGGTTGTAAGCTAAATTGCCAAAGTATTGCTCCAGCTTGGTTTTCCTCAACAATATACATCACTTGTGGCTTTACCTTTCACAAAGACTTTTTGCACTGCTAATTTTTAGTTACCAGAGCTGTCAAACTTATATGCAAGAACTTCATACTTAGGGGCACAGAGAGAGCAATGGAGAAACATAGTAAACATCAGTAATGTAACCATTAATAGGAAGCATCGAGAAAAACTGAATCACTGTGGAGGTTTTTGTCTTACATGTCCATTGTGGAATTATCTATGTATAATACGTAGTTTTACATCTATTTTTAAAGTAGCACTATGGAACGTCCTCTCATATTTGCTTTATGTATTAACTTTCCATTACACGTGAAAACGGTCTCCTGCCAGTCTTCCAGAAAGGAAGACTAGATGCATTTTAAAAACATTGATAATTTTACCCTTGAAATAAGATTTGTTCATCATCAAGGCATTATGAAATTTTCATTAAGTGAATTAGCATCGCTGAGTTCTGTTAAAAAGTCAAAATTGGCAGGTTATCTGTTTCTCTACAAAAAGCACAGGAAAATACGAAATGGGCCCTTATTAAAAAAAAAAAATCAATTCCTCTTGTTTGAATTCCTCTTGTTATACAACATCGCAGTCTGAATTTCTTTGGGCAGGGATGGTGAGAGAAAGATGATTTCTATTTATTATTTACTGGATCAAGCATGTTTACTCTAGTCTCAAAGTAAGAAATACTGGATAGAAACAGTCTGGGAGCATTTTTGATCACATTTTACTGTTCTTCCAAATTTAAAATATTTTTCTTTGAAAGAAAGAGATGTTCAGGAGAAAAAATAGTGGTTATGGGGAAATACATAAAAAATGTATCCTAAAGAAATTCTGCAATTGCTATCATACAAAATTTTTAATTTTTGAACAAGTTTTTTTGTTTAAAGTTTTGTAAAAAAACCCCAACACCTACAACCATGAGTGTGCCCGATTTCATTCAGTTTCTAAGAAGAAGGCATTAGGCATTATAAAGGCAATACTTGCATGACCCGAATCAGAAGTTGCTACAGCAACTGAATAGAGTAAGCTGGAAAAATGCTATTGGAAAATGACAAAACAGAAACATGCACTTAGCAATCTGCTGTCATTTTAAAACATGCATTTCTTCTCTTCCTCTTTCTGAAGTGTAGAGCATTTCATCTATATGAATACAAACCACTTAAAATAAATTCTGATTGCTCTGTCTTCCTTTCAGATTTTAAGGTATGCTGACTGACCATGGAAATTAAGTATATTTGACTAAGGGGAAAAAAAAAAACCCAATAAACTTTGTGTAGTGATTTATTGTCTTGATGTATCTAGCATGTTGAATTTGGCTCCACGAGACCTAATGAGGTAACCTGTTTTCTAAAAAACTAACTACTTTTAGGGAATGTGTTGAATTTTTGTTGAAATATTGGGATATATGCTTTGAAGCACTTTAAATATCAGAATTAAATTATAAAGAATTCAGTTAATTTAAAATGTAACTATGTATGTCCTTAGTTCTAGGAGCTGGGGCTTTTACAGTGGTAAGGAAAAAAACAATACTTTTAGAAATTACAATAATCATGAGATAGTAGCACTGTGTTCAAAAGTCTTTCTTTAGAAAAGCCACATCACCAAACATAGTTACAACTCATGACCTCGGCAGAGAAATCTCATAAAATATTTTGAGCCTCCTTGTCAGATGCATTTGGAATTGGTAGCCAACACTAGTCTAAGGCATAGAGTTGCATAAAATTTGCTCTCCTGGGCATATAGTAAATACAGCATAAATGATGCTTACTTTTTTTTTCTACTTTCATGTTTAAAAAACCCTTCTGCTTAGGACAATCAAAGCTAAATTCTTTGGTGGTCATTAAAAAAAACGAATTATACAAAGACAAGTGATCAGTTGTCCTATACTGAGGTAATTTGAGGAGTGCCATAAGAAAGTTGCGTTACAAACACCACTTGCCCATTTCCCCTGCCTAAAAGCAGCTCCCATTTTTTAATATACTCAGCATAGACCTCTACAGTGACCTGAAGAGATCCTGTTCCATAGGCCATCTTAACACACTGCATACGGCAACGCTGAAAGTTGTAAAGACAGTGTATCCTACAATCAGGAAAGGAAAGAAAGTTCTTCCACGTATTACGTCCTTGAATTGACCAGGAAGATTAACTACGTAGTCTATGTAACATCAATATATTAGAATGCTGCCACACATTAAAATATAGCATAGCTTAAGGAGAAACAAAGAGAAAAGGAAATAAAACTTGCAAAGACTCGACAGATGCCATCTGAACATTAATAAAGGGGTCAATGTCAAGTACATTAAAAATATATATACCATCTTTCCATTGTTTGCATAACTTCCCATTGTTTGCATATGCTTTTCATACATCAGCATGAAAATCATGTCACTTGGCAAAGGGATTTCGTTTGGTTTTTATGGAAAACCTAATGGAACATAGCCTTTTACTTTTGTTTGTTTACCAGAATAATCAGTTATGTCCACAGAGCTCTCAGAGCGGTGCCTGTTGAACCTACAGAAGCAAGAGCACATACTACTATAACTGGATATAAATGAAGCCTGTTTCGCTCCTTTTGATCTTTTTTTTTTTTTTACAATAAAACAATAAGAGCAATGGATTTTACTTTCAAAGGGACGATTCCCATCTACTTTCCAAGGAATGACTCATCATACTTATGAGAAAGCCAGGGCAAAACCAGGATGCAGCACTTGACGTTGGCCCCTTTAAATGGGGAAAATAAGCTTTGGAAAAAACCAATGAAACCTTACTCTACTGCCTATGAGGAAAATACAAATAGATATTAATATAGTCTTTAACCTGTAAGAAATGTCAAAGCTACTTGATTAAGTAAAAATCAAGTGTTCCTCATGGTGCCGCGATGACACGCTAGGAACAGCAAGGAGACAGCAATTCTGTGCAAGTTTTCTGGCAGGTGGTGCAATATCATCTCATCTCAAACATTTAAGTAGTTTTTTTTGAAGATATACGGAAATTATTTTTCTACTAGATTAATATTTTTTGTGAAAAATGAACCAGGAAATTCAATTATGAAGCTATGTTTTGTTTAAGTAAACTGTAAATGACCTTATAACTCTGGTCTAACACAATTGCTAAAGCAAAAGATGGTTTTCATTTTTTAACCTGTTTACACTCATGGATTACTATCTTGCATGTGATTCATCTTTGCATGCATAGTGTAAAACGTTAAGAGTTTGTTTTTTAAATTTTTATGATCTACCGATGTAGGAGTGCCAACAAGAAACAAATTGATGCCTTTGTAAAGAAACGCATACAGAGACATTTTTAAATTAATAGTTAATTAGTAATGAGTAAAGGCTTACCCCACAAAAATTAAATCAGCTGCTACATTTTAAAACTCTTCTTATGCATGATAAATAAAACAAATGTTCCTGTAAAAAATTTTCACTAATCTTTCAACCTGCTTTTCGAACAACAGAATAAATAAATCCATTAGTGCCTAAAAGTTCAAATATGCTACAGATGTTTAAGATAACTGAATAACTACATTAAAATGCACCATGAGAAAATTCTTTATCATTTTCCATGCAGGAAGCCAATTGATATTTTTGTGAGGTATCGGTCTTTCAAAAATACTCATAAGTTAGTTACCTGATACACCTTCTGTACATGATATATTTAAAAATCTAACTGTACAGTGTTTCATTCATATATAATGCATATAATCTGCTGAATATGGCACAAATGCTAAGTTTCCACACCCACACATCCTTTGCCGTAGAACACACTTTGGGCGTTAACACAACACTGAAGAACAGAAAAGTGCCTGAAACTGAAAAAAAAAAAAAGACACTCAAGTAATAAATTAAATCTCATTCAAACCGATATAAAAGTTGTTCAAGTGTTTAAAGTATCAGATGTGTCATGCAACAGAACAACAGACGATTCAGGCAGGCACACCATGCATTATAGTTTGCATTCATGGTATCATAAGGTATCTCTCCCCCACTTCTGCGTGGCCAGTGAGTGCTGGGTACCTGTGGCACTGCTAGGCTCACGTGTTGAACCTCCAAAACCTCTCCGTCTCCTGCGCAGGAGGTTTTACGAAGCTATGCCTTGGAAGGATAACCGGACAACCTCATGCTGTACAGTGGTATCTTGCTGCAGCATAAAGAGAGGCATACTGAGCTGCATGTAAGCAAAGCAATCATTTCTCGATTATATTTTCCAGTCAGTGGAGTTCACCATAAACCAATCGATTTACCAAAATGTCCTTATCCAAACTGGCCAAGTTTGCACACCAAGAAAACGTCTTCGCAGAACGTATCACTTTTTCCTTTTTGTTTGGCACAAATCCTTTCGTACTCTCGCAGCAAGCTCTTCACCATACAAGAATTCAGAGATACTAGCCTGCACAAACACACCGGTGCTTATTCTTCCATAGAGTAAACTACAAAGACAGCTAAGTGCCTGCAACAGCTTTGCTTCTTCAGTAACTTCACCTTCTCTCTCCGGGGAGAGCACCAGCATAATTACACTTCAGACAAAGGGGTGTTCTTGCTGAGCTCTTTAATTCCCTGGAGAATTCGCTTCATATGACCCACTTTCGTTATCCCCAGGTCCTACAGAAATTAAAAAAAAAAAAAAAAAAAGGAAAAAAGAGAAAAAGAAAACAAAGACATCTTATTTACAAAAACAAAAAGAAACAACCCATTGATTATGATCTAACCATACAACAGATGTCTACAAACATGTTCACTGCAATTAACATTAACCAGAAAAGATTCTATGGTACTAGCAAGAGTTGCCTAACAAAAAAATTGCACAGAGCATACAATGAATCCCTCTCTATCTCGCAGACAGAAAATTACTTACCTGCAATAATGACAACCCAAGGCACTGCAATATCTGTCAAAAACATCTTTCGCTTGACTTATAAGTACAAAAACCTTTCACAATTTCTGGCAAAAGAAAAGAACAATCTCCCTCTCCTCTCTAATACAGCAATCAAATGTTTGGTAGGATGTGATGGATTAGAGCTTCTGTCCAGCAATGTTCACTTGCTCTGAGGCCCTATGATATCTGTTTTAATCAATGAACACACACATCCCCAGTTTCTCGAGGGAAAGTGGATATAACGGCTACAGGCATGTAGGACAACTTCCCTTTAGAGAGCAATAGAAAAGGTAAGCATTTGTTTGTTTTTCATTCCAAAAAGCTTACGTCTTCTGACATAGATCTTCTCGATTAGAGAGCTGGAAGAAAAATTCTCAGAAACACGACAGTCACATCCCAAAGGAAAATGTAAAAAGCACAAGCGTCAATCTCCTTTGTAGCCACCACTAAAGCAATCACATCAGCTGAAATGTTTCTACTATTGGTTTCTGGGACCTATCTCCATATAAGTGAAGACAAGGAATTTTTGCAGCAAGCCTCTTCCAGCATTAATAACAGCTTTAGCAGCATCCTTTTTCAATTTTGACTGGTCCAATGGTCAGAGGAGCAGAATGGGATGCCCAGCTGTGCTAATGATCCCCAACTGCACTAATGAATTTTCAGCTCAGTTTAGTGGAAACCTACTTCCCTCATCTGTAAAACCGCAAGTGGCAGATTCAAACATTAGTTATTTGTAGAATAAACCTTACGTAAGTAGATTATGATTAAATAAAAAAAATCTTAGTAAAGTTTCACTATCTATTCTTCTGAAATAGAAATCCTTTCATTTTAATAGGAAGATTTTCCATTACAAAGACATTAAAGGGACGGGAGTGTAATTAAGCACCTTGAAATTATTATTCTCATACAAAGTGAAAAATGAAACCAAATAAAATATTCTATACATACTCTACACAAAGACTGTATCTACCTTTCGACAGTCACAGAAACCTCAGGAAATTTGCTCTTTGTATTACTTAAAAGTGTTAGCATGCAATTTGTTTTGCATTTCTGCAAAGCAAGAAAGGGGTGGTAAGATGGGCATGAATTAACTATTTTATTGTAAAAGTAGCACAGCACAGATTAAATAGGTGAATTAATTTTCCAAAAGTCAAGACTAAATTCTAGTCATGTTAGAGGTGAAATAAACCTGGTTGTTTCTTCAGTAGAAAACTGTCAGTACTGTAAATACATGATTATCATTTACAGAACTTCGGCACAAAGGTGTCAGAATTAAAGACTTCAAGGTCTCTTCATAAAAGTCCACAAATCAAGTGCTGTTCATAAGCCTATCTGAAAAAAACTTTGTTTTTTCCACATCACATCAATTTATAAACACTTTATCAACACTTATAAAAAAATGCAGTACTAATTTTAAGTTAAGAGAATTGATGTAGGTAGCAGTTGTTAAACTCATTCCACAATGACATTTATTAGTTTAGATTCAGGTAATATTTTCTTGTTTATGCTAAACTTAATTTTCCAATGAATCAAAAATACGTACAACTATTGAAACTACTGAAATAGCCTAGCTGCTATGTGGAGAAAATTCTACATCAGGAAAATCCCGAAAGGATACTTTCCAAATCACGAGAAGCCACATGTGTTAAAGGTTAAAAACTTGCAAATTTTTCAGAACAAATATTTTTCATACGTAGAACTTCTGTTGGATAAGCAACATAGCAAGATGCTGCCAGACTTCAAAGATCAGAGGAAAGAATCATATTTTGAAATTCCCAGAAAACTCAGCCACTTTTTCCACTCAACCTTTACAAAGTATCGTCAACAACGCCTATGTTTCACAGGCAAGAGATTTCGGTTTTCAGTTCTAGTAGAAGTTGCTGTAATGTAGATGAGAAGAGCAAGCCCCAAGAGCCTTACCACAGTTTTGGGGACTCTTTTGATAAATTCTGTCACGCTTCCATGAAAAAAAAAACAATGGACAAAATTCAGAGAATTTTTATGCTGTGTGATAGCTTGGTTTAGAGGAAATTAAGATTTATACATTCCTGACACTAGAAGCTACCTAGTATTCTCAGTTTACTACTGATGCAGGAAAGTCTGCAGAAATTCTGTCGTCTCAGACTAAAAGGAGCATAACATGCATCATTCACAAAAGCAAGATTTCCAAAGATCTCTGCATTTTTGTGCATGTCTGAGTTCCATCATGCTCTACATAGTCTGTCCCTATTTAACTGATATGTAATTAACAAGAATTCAATTTGACTAAAATACGGTTTTGAAGACAAGACTCTAGGCAGAGATAATGGAAGAAAATAGCCCTTCTTTTTTTCCCAGCTATGGCCTTAAAACTGCAGGATCACCTCTCCTGCTCTCCCTAACTCCTTTGCCATCTCTAGGCCTTCAGCAGGTAAAGCTCAAAAAATTCTGAAAAAGAAAAAAAAAAAAGCTTGAGCAAGAACCAGCTGATGAAAATTCTGGCAACAGCTTTCAAGAGTTCTTCGTCTGCATTGTATGATGATGATTGCCTGTATTCTTAGCCAAGAACCCATTTATTCCAGGTTTGCCCCATCGATTTTGGACAAACGTACTACCACGGTACTACCAAAGAATTCATATAAACACTCCTTAGTATTAATATCATCCAGATGAGAAACCTACCTCACTTGTATTCTCAGTGTCCAAAGTAATCAAGCAGGCCTCAGTCTAACGAATCTTACAAAACATTTTCCATGTAAGAACTTTTTCAAAACGTGCTGCTGCGAAACACAGAGATGAAACGCTGCAGTTCTCAGCACAGACTTCAGCTTGACTGGCGCTGCTCCTCAAGCTAACATGAGGCGTGGAAGCCTTTTCTCTAAGGAAACCAACATTGCTATGGACCTCTAAGGAGACATCATCCTCGTCCTACCAAATGTGTTACAGTTCTGACTATTACTAAGTTGCATGCATAGGAATATGGTTATTAATGGTAAGAATGTCACTATTTATTTCAGAAAAATCAGAGTCTAGTTTTCAATGAATTTACTTGTAAAATAAAACAAAAAAAATCACTACAAGCTTTCTTTCTACAGTTTCTACAGCATAGTTTGCACTTCACTGCCCAGACTTTCCTGAAGAGAAAGAAAATCACATGGGTGTAAAAGTCTAAAATTCCCCTAAATAAAATCAGGCACGGGAGGCTGGAGAAATGGTATTACTGCAGGGGCTGAGTGGAGAGAGGTATCTCGTTCCTCTTGGAGGTGTCCTCCATTTGCCAGTTGCAACACAGAGCAACTCTGAGAATGGTATCCACAAGCTACGCAGAAATATAATTGAAGGTGTCCAATTCTTCAGTCCACACACCCATTTATTTCAGTGATGCGTGCAAAGGAAAAGAGTTTCATCAAATCCTTTCCCGTACAGCTTTTTATCTCTCATTTTGACCACAGAAAGAAAGGTGGGCCCAGAGGATGCAATTAAAACAAGCAACGATTTTTCCTGTCCTAGACATGAGAGGTAATAGAGTAAAATCTATTGCACCTGACTTAAGAGCTTGTGAATCAATGGTGAGGCCATTCAGCTCGGCAGGAAGCACACACCTTGCACCAGAGGAGAGGCTGCAGATAGATGACAGCTCGCAAGAGCACTGGAGACTCATCCACATACCTCGACAGCCAAAGGGAAGAAAAATTAACAGGGCAGCCTGCGACGTGGTCCTCATTGCCCCCGTGCCCCATTACACATCTTGACACCAATTCAGGTCACTGGTCAGAAAACTGCAGGCTCCCTCGGCCATCCTTAGTTGGTTCCCTGCAGAGATCGTGCCCCGTATGTAACGACCAGGACGAGTGCTAAACTCTGCAATTTAAATTCAGCGTTGCTCCACAGAGCACAAGCCACGCTTGGCCAAAAGCCTGGCATACCAAACAAACAGCAACGATATGGAAGCTCTCAGCTCTGCTAACGAGCAGATGGGGCGATTCCAGTGCTAGGCTTCTGCTAGCACAGGATACACCCTCGGCACCTTGCGCAGAGCAGCTCCTCACTCAGCTATGCTGAGCAATTTAAAATCTGCGTATGTGCTTCCAGGCAGCACTAGATCGGGGAGACAGTAAAAGCCTGTCTCTCTGTAGGCTTGAAGACAAGCATTTGATGAGGAGTTGAGCAACCTGGTACAGTGGAGGGTGTCCCTGCCCATGGCAGGGGGGTTGGAACTAGATGATCTTTGAGGTCTCTTCCAACCCAAACCATTCTATGATTCTATGATTCCATTCAGATGTATCAGGGCGTAGGCCTATATGGTGGGGATTTATTTGTGCTGAGTCAGCATGAGTCTTAACAACAGGGATAACGGGTTGATCACCCTGCTGCAGACATTTACCTGATTGAAGTGCCAGTCTTCTGGGCATGCAGTCAAATTAGGACCTAACAGAAATGAGGCATGGCCAGATGCCATGTCCAGTTTAACACTGATTTTAACCACTACAATTTATTCCAACAAATTTAACATCTTTCTTTTTTTAAAAATTAAGATTTCTTAACATTTTAGCAAACCAATGAATCGTGTGATGCTAAGTTTCCCGGCTAAATTTTCAATTCGTTCAGTTCCCATTCAGAACAAGGACTTGCCACATCCATCACTGGAACATTGTGGTGGATTGCCTGCACAGTTTTCTATTTCTAAATTTTTGCAGGGAGGGACTGTCCTGAAACTGTCTCTCCATGTCAGGAACTATCCTGAAAGAAAGGAATTTAACTTCCATGGAAAGAAGCTTAGGTGATCTAATACCAAAAGGTAAAATAATACATACGCAGATGATCCCAAATGCAGCTATCTTCAGCAGCTGCCTTCTACTGCAACAGTCACACAATGTAAGCACTACCTTATAACATCAGGAATTCATACTGTCTAAGAAACTACACGAAAAATGGCACATTTGTATGAAAGTATTGCCTCTGTCTGGAGAGTACTGCACTGTGGCTAGAGCGATGACTTGCACTCTAAATGTAAATGTTTGCGATTTGTACAATATCCTATTTCCTCTCTTATGTGCTAAAAGCAGTTGCAAAACACATTATCAAGAACTCATTACTACTGAGTTCCCAGAAAAGTAATGTAATGAATCCCCAAAGGTATAGCTTCTATTACATATAATGGATGCACTTAAGTAATTCTTGAAATAGACCAGCAAACTCAAATAACAGCCTCAGACTGCTAGGTAACATTTCTCCCTGCAAAACTTATCAATCTGACCTCAGAGGGAGAAAGTTTTACAATTTTGGAGACAAAAGAAAGTGCTCTTTTTTAAATCTATGCAGCTAAAATCAGGCAGAGGTTGGTCAGCATGAGAAAACCTATTGTGAATATCTATTTTGACACACAAACACCAACGCCATGTAAGTCCAATGCCTCAATTTATTAAGCTGCTTATCTCTCTCACACCCACTATATCCAATAGATATATAATAAATCACCTGAAGCAGGACAGCTGCTCATAGCTGCTGACCTTGCAGTAGATAGATTCAAAATTACTACCACCACCTTCAACTGATCCATACTGATCGTATTTAACGGGAATGATGAACACTCGAAGATAACATTATATTACACTGATGTCAGTAAGATACCAAATGTGCTTTTCCTATGCCTTTGGACATAAACTATAATGCTATCATTCTACATAAATTGGAAAAAAAAAAAAAAAGGAAATTTCAGATAACACAGATATTCTTGGTTGCAAGTACAAGTCAGCACTTCAGAAATTCAGGCCAAAGGACAGCACGTTATTAGTTTATTGCATATTTGCACAGTGTAAGCCAAGCTACAAGCACATAACAAGTGCAGGGAAAGAAGAAAAGTTGGTTGTTGTTTTGTCAAAGAAAATGGTCAATAGCAGAAAAGTAGCACAAAGGAAATACCTTAAGATCTCGCCTTTCCAGATGTAAAAGCTCAGAGCCTCGGATGTCATGGCTGATGAAGATTTCTTTGTACTCTCCCAAACTGAGCAGATCCAGCCAAGCAGCAACTTCATCTGTGCCCCATTTTTGAACTACCAAAGTTAAGAGCAAAACCCCCTTAATTTCTACATGCTCAAATGCATCACAAGCAAAGGTTAGGCCAAAGAGAGTGGAAAACAGAGTAGAATTGCCGTGCTAGCAAAGGGAAAGGTTAGAGGTGTCATTTCCACAAAAACTGACAATTTCCTTTTTACATGCAGGTTAGAGGTTAGCAGTTAATACGAGAAAGTATCTAAACAAAGTTGGGGTTCTTTGCTTTGCAGCCATGCTTTCAGCTTTACTCCAGTTTCTTCAGTAAAGCCTTTAAAACCTCGTGTCCCAACAAATTCACATTAAATCATCTTAGGATCAGTGACGCAAAGTCTAATGTTGCTCTGCTTTATACCATTAATTTATTAGTAGTCATGGAGGGAGAGGAGAAGCCTTCAAAAACTAATTAACATGTAAAATTAAAATATCAACCATTCCTCAAATATAGCAATGGCAGCAAGCAAGTCCAGTTTTAATTAACATTTTCTAGTATTCATAATTAATGCAACAAGTATTCTTTAAGCTACCGTGTTACACAGGCTATTAATAAGCTCTCTGTAAAACATTGTTCTCTAAGGTTAGTTGCCCACATTAGTCCTAATAAGATCACATTTATTGGGAAAAAAAAAAGTTATGCTACTTATTGCTATAATTTCGCAACTTCATTCAATGCTGATCAGTTTTACAGTGAAGTGAAATCTGATGTCTAATCTGAAATCTAAAGTCTGATCAACAACTGCAAGATTTTGCAGATTATGACCAACTGTTCATTAAAAAGACAAAGATGTAGAAACAGTTTTAGGACCATCTGATCACTGATTAACTCCTGGACATAATCTGAAGGAAGTAAGTTCATGGATAAGAGTGGGAAGAGAGGAGAGTGGAGTTTGTTCAACTTCTAATTAAAAAATCAATATTGACTATTGTGGCTTTTTGTTTGATTTGTCTCACTTGCTGAACTTAAAACCCATTCAAAATTTAAGAATAACTGGTTAATTAAACCAGTGTGATAAAAGAGACTGTGCACCTTCTGAAACTAACCTGAAACACCTGAATTGGAGCTTCACAGGCAAACAACGTGTTTACGTACGACTTGTATTGCTATGAGTTAATCAAATGTAACCACCAGAAAAGACACAGGTCCTGTTGCATGATAAAACTATCTCAATATTTTTGCAGTAGTTCTTTGGTTCACTTGGAAGTCTTGGGGTCCTACTGAACGCTTTCTAAATGCATTGAAAGAAATCTTCATCCTAATGAAGAAGCCAGTTAGCTCAGCTGCTTTTCACTTTGACTTTGCTCTTAGGTAGAGTGCATCATATCAGCTCTTACTAAAAAAATAAAATCACATAAAATAAAATTTTCCCCCAATGCTACTATTTTTGTTGTAATTTCAAAACACATACCAGGCTGGGGGCTGGTCTTATGCTTCTGAACTTTTTCTTTTTTAAACTTTGGCACTATACGAAACACTGTACTTCTGTTGTTTCTTTTAGCATAATCCAGAGGGGGATCCTGCATGAAAGAAGAGACATAGTTACCTTTAATTAACAGAAAATAACAGTTAAATTACATGCTTGAGAAGGTAATTCATAGTTAATCTCAAAAACTAAGACCAAATTTTACTTCCATAAAGAATAACGTCAGGATTTAACTCTATACTTGTTTCATTTGTTAAATAACCATTCAAAGCCTTTACAGTCACAAAAGGGAAAAAAAAAACCACAAAACAAACCACAAAAAAAGCCCTAAGCTTTGAAGTTTGTTCAGGGCAGACAGAAAGGATCCAGCATCACTGCTGAAATTGCCTCTCCAGATAATGAGGGTTTCTAACTTACTCTTCCCCATCAAAAGAAAATTAAGTTCAATTAGGAACAGGAAGTATTCAAATCAAACTCACCTCATCATCATTTGGTTGAAAAACATAATAAAGCCAAGGTATCTCAGCAAGTTTTCTCAACTCTATTTCCACGCTATGCAAAGCATCAGACAACAGCTCTTCATGGGGAGCTTCTAACTGCTATTTATAAACAGGCCAGAAAAACAGTATTTTTAGTTTTGTTAACATATAACATGAATTCTAAATATGTTGTTACCTCACAAAAACAGATGACTTCTTCACAGTGTGTGTAAATGAACAGTGAAAACAAACAATCTTACCAAATTAGATTTTCCTTCAGAGATGCCTCAGACCACCTTGACACTACATTTAGTATGGTCCAAACTACAAAGGAATGACTGAGACAGCTGAGACTTTTGGTGCAGACCAGCTGGACCTAGCTGTCAATCACTGTCATGATTCACCACACTCCTGAGTCTTCACAGAGCAAAAGTTATCTAATGACATCAATAGCAGGGCACACTAGAAATGGAAACTACCAGCACAAGGGGGATAAAACCTGATCAGAAGAACAAGAGCCTGGTAAATCCTTGTATGAAAAGTGGGGTAAAAAAATTGTATAGATGGTAGTAAGTCTGAGTTATTATTTGCAAATGTCTTCATATGATAGATTACTCTCCCATGGCCAAGTAAAAGGAAATGGATCTTACCAAAGATGCTCCATTCCCAAAGGTCTTCCAGTGGTGATACAATACTTGCACTACACTTTCTAATCAGGTGAGACACGGAGTGATAGCCACTGCTGCTGGCTGAAGGTGGGAAGAATGGGGACAAGGCATGGAAAAGGGACATGATTGCAGCCCTCAACAGGAGACAAAAAGCCAAATACATCAGTGAAGGCCAAAGAGGAAAAGAAGGCGGTAGCAGTGTGAAAAACTTAGGATTTGCTGACCTGAATTTGACTTTATCAACATTTTTGAGAACCCCATGGAGGTAACAGTTTTCCTTAAAATCCCAGTGTGAAAACTATTCTGCAGCTATTGTGCAAGGCAAATCTGTGAGGAAGAGGTAAGGCAGGCAGCTGATCCCTGGCAAAGCTGTTTTGGGCTCATCTGGGGTTGCAGAAAAATAATTTTGAGGTTGAATCCCGGAACGAGTTGCTTAGAATCACTAATTAAGCAATCTGAACATCTATTTCTCTCTTTGAAGTAAAAGTAGTCCCAAAGCAGAGCAGAATATCCTTTTTAAAGGACCTAATTAAGTTATATCCTAGTGAATGCATTTCTAAGAGAATCTTTGATCTCTAATACTGGAAAAAGATTTTGACGTTGTTGGGGTTTGGTGATAAATTACAAGTCCCCCATTAATTTATCCTGCGTAAGAAAAACTTCTTCCCTTTGTTTCGATAGTTTGCATATATTACTACCTTTCAAAGGAGACACCATCCTTAGTAAGATATTGCTGTTTAGCATAGTAATACTGGAAATGCAAGCTCTCTCTTGTTATCATGTGCTTTTCTCTGCTAAAGCTCACAGAATTCAGTGCCCACAAGCAGACTCTGATCTTTCTTTTGCCTTTGAACAGTTCAGTTAATCTGTAGCACAGTGGAAGACCCACTTGTCTTTGAAGAAGTTACAACTTTTCTTGTGTTTTCATTTTTTAAAAATTGTTTAAGTCATCAAATGATGAAGAGCTCTCTCTTTCTCAACAAGCTCTTGTCTTTGATTCTCAAAGGAAAACATTTTACTTGGGGACAAAAAAAACCTCTCATCTGATGATGAGGAAGTGTATGCATTGGCAATATTTATCCTGAAATAAACCGAAAACAGTAGTGCAATTCTGGTAAAGGAGGAATCAGCAACTTTGGGTAAATTCTCCTCCTAGACTGTCTAGATAAAGCTTATGACTTCCATAGTGAAAATTAACACTATGAATGAAACATTGAAAATTAAGTGTTTTTTTCAATATCTTCCCAAATGAAATTTTTAATAAGAAAATACTTGATTTTAGTGAGCTCAGATCATTTCACTCAATTGAAATGCAACATTCTGTTTAACTTCTCCCTTAATATATTGGAAAACTGTGCTCTGTTCCAGACTGGAAATGCTTTTAAAAAAGCAAAAACTCAAAAACTGAAATGGTACTTTTAGAAAATATCTAGACAAAACATGTCAGTCTATTTTTTTTTCCAAGTGTCCAGCAATAACCATCTGGCAGACTCCATAGATCGGCTTCATTGTCCCATCTTATCATTTCACTAAGAATAGTATTTATATCTAATTCACCGTTTGATGTCACCTAGCTAACACTGTTGTATGAACTTTTTAATCACATCTTACAGTAGGTGGCAGAAATCACAGTCTCCTTGTGTATGTATTTACATTTCTTTTGTCTCCTTCAGGAGCCATAACAGATGGCAGCAAATGCAACCAAAGAAAGAGCTTACCAAGTACTATATGCAATGAAGGCATCAATTTACTGCTGTCAAGAGCTTTGATCACAAAAGGGAGTGGTGAGGGAGAATTGAAGAGGCAAAAAAAGAAAAAAGAGGAAGATAATAAAGAAAGAAGGTCCATCTTTGTCAGAGAAGAAAGGTAATTTGAAGAACAGTGTATGATAGCAGCAGCTGATGCATAAAGCAACACCTTACATTTCATCTGTCTCTATTTTGATAGAGTGAGGGACCAACATACATGTAGCTCCAGCATTTGTTAAGTACATAGCAATAAGGTTAACCAGGGGACCTTGTTATTGTGACTGCGAAATACTGTTCTAAACAAGCATGATGTCAAATGAGTATAATGGACTTCTCTGACAGATTATCTCAGTATCTTCCAAACAGCCTTTTTATTTAAAAATGGGTTTGATGTAGACTCATGAAGACATTTGCACAGACCATAATGAGAAGCAGAAGTACAACATGTAAAAATCAGAAATGGACAAGTGAATCAAATTATGCTTTGGAGCCTGAACAAGGGACCAGTTCGACAACACAATGAGATCACAACTGGCTATAGAAAAGGTAATGTTTCAATGGGAAGGTATCCATAATAACATTATTTCCAGACTGTCTTGACAAATTACACTAGTCTTAGCAAGCATCACCAACCTAAACCTTTTCTTCTAATTCTTCTTCCTAAACTGTTTCAGAAATTAGACAAATTTCTCTATTTTGATTCCTCATTTAATCTGAAACATGGAGGATTAGTAATAGCAATTTGGAAAAAAAAAATATATTTTCCCCTTTTCTGGGAAGAAAACATCTAATGAATAACTTTCCCTTCTAAAAACTTATAAAATAGATTTATCAGTCTTTGGGTATTTCTAGAACTTAAATGGTTATTAGCCTTTAGATCATACTAACTTTTGGTTACTTTAGAATAGACTTGTACCATTTATCATTTGTGTAAAAAGACATCTGAACCTGCACCAGTAAGTTTCATACTCTAATGCAGCTAAATGAAAACATTTCTATTAATATCCATTTTTAATTATAAAACTTAAATAAATAGTAAGTTAGTAATAAATCTGCTTTTGAATTCAAAGAAAATGTAACTGTTCCTACTGAGTATCTTCTTAATGTAAAACTAGACCAGCATAGAAAAAAACTGACATCTATCTTCTCTTCACAATGTCACATATAGAAATTTTCTAATTATATATCCGGATACAGCAATTCTTGAGCAGTCTTCATCATTTTAGGCACAGGAACACCAGCCAAAGAAGATGCAAAGTCTTCAATTACCATCAGATGTCTACTAAACACTTACCAGTTAAAGGTTATAAAATAATTCCTGACAGGTATTAGGACAAGGGTGAGATTTACTTGTCTAAATTATATCTGTAGAAGTTGAATGTATGAGTCTAAACAGCTCTCACCCCAGGTTCTCTTTAACAGCTGAAGATAGTCACATAATAGAACTCCAGAAGTTCTCTTAAATGCTAAGTTTCCAGAAGACGATTTATCTTTTTCTAAGATAGGGCTCCAAGACAGTTGAGTATTAATCAACCTCGACAGGGATACTTATTTCTCTCTACTATTAAAAAGAAGAGTCCAGGCAATGACCTTTCAGATATCTGAAGTGAGGTAAAATGGATGCCAACCTAGGACAAGAATTCATAACTCATTCCAATCCAAACCACAAATGCAGTATAATATCCCTCAACTGGCCTTAAAGAGCTTCTTGTAGCATGTCATAAATCCTGTGCTGATACAAAAAATCAGCAAAGAGCAAACCACAGATAATCTGAATGAGAGAATACAACCATGAATTTTGTGACCTTACCAAAGGAACTCTTCCTACTAGCAGAGATTCGGTTTCATTATGTAGGGCCTTCACATTGACAGCTATCTCCATGGCAGTGTTTCTGGTAAGGCTCTGGGGAATAAGAAGCATAAAAATTATTTGAAGTCATGGAAGTCAGACTGAGAATAAGTACTTTGGGTATTTCCCCTCACCCCCTTTGCATTCTCTGCAAAGCACCTGGATAACAATTAAGCATGAAAATTTTTATGAATGCATGCACAAGAGCTGACTGTGCAGTAACAGCATTTGTTCAGCCTTTGTCATGCCTACACTCCGGGTACATGCCTACACAGTTGCCTGCAAGCAGATGTGAGCTTACTTCGCCTATTTTTTCTGCTGTTTGCTGACTTGAGTTTGGTTTATTCATGCTCAGAGCTACATTAGTACACCATCTCACTTGATTTAATAAGCACTGCCGCATCACTTCAGGATGAGCATTCCTGGCTGTGGACTTCCGTTGCAGATGGAGCAAATTCTTGACTACTTCCAAAAGTCAACAGACATACCCTTACCATGCACCTAATACAAACTCCCTATCTCCCTCTTGACTGCTCACTCACCCCCTGCAACAACACCCAGAATATCCACATTTTAAGTGTCATTAATGTCCCTTTCTAATCTGCAACATTCACAAAGGAGAATATCAACTGTGGAGGATGCTGAAGAATGCAGAAACTGCATCTTCTGCCTACTCAGACGTCATATTGATCTCACATCAAGACAGGACTCTCCTCTTTAATACTGTTCTGTACAAAGGCAGTTCTCCTAACTCCCAGTATAGAATCATAGAATCACTGAATCATAGAATGGTTTGGGTTAGAAGGGACTTCAAAGATCATCTAGTTTCAACCCCTTGCCATGGGAAGGGACACCCTCTGCCACACCAGGTTGCTCAAAGCCTCATCCAACCTGGACTTGAACACTTCCAGGGATGGGGCAGCCATTCCTCCTATTATTAACAAATTTCAGAATTATTGAGCATGATGTCTACCAAATTCATCAGGTACAGGTTGTTTCCCTATGCATGTGAAGGGCTGAGACTCGCTGCTGCTATACAGAGCAGCACCTTCAGAATCAGAAGAACTTTCCCTTTACTTTCACCTTAGAGAAAGCGGCAAAAAAGGGGAGAAGATACAGCATCCATTCATCTGTTAAGCAATTTCACTTAAATCTGAGCATGTGTATGTATATTTAGAAGTCTTGTTTATCAAAAACTTCAAGAATTATCATCCAACTTGTTTTAATATGGGGACAGGGAGTATAATGCAGCTCCCATGTCACAAGCTTAGGCACACAGATATTATAACTTATTTACTTATACATAAATCTCTGTCCTTCCTTTACCTCAGGAAACCTTGGGTTGGCTTTATTTAATGCATGTGAACATGCATTAACAGCATGAGCAAGCTCCTGCTCCAAGAGGCCATGTATTTTTGCTGCTTCACAGATTCTACAGAAACACAAAAAAGAGAAAAATATTTCTTACCTCCTTTAAAGAATAATTCTTAAGAGTACACAACATTATCAGATGAGAAAATATACAAAGGCAGGTTTCACAAAACACTTTTTTAAAAAAATAGTCCTTTACAAAAAAAGTTGAAATACAAGTATCTCTTGTATATACAATCGCAATACAGCACCTCATACAAATGATATCCATAACACAGATTATATATTCTGCTATGAAATACTGAGACAAATTTATTTCTCTTAGACTACAAATGCTACGCAAAAATTGTACCAAAAAACTTTGAGGCTATTAATTCAAATAAACTATAGAGGAAAAAACCCTAGCACATTAAGGTAACTTCATTGAAGTTACCTTAAAAAACATTACACTTATTTCGCAAGGCATATCCCTCAGATGTGACATTGAAATTAGCTGCAGTCATTTGAGATTATGGAAGGTCCAGCTGTAATTACAACGTCAGGACCATCTCTAGAACAGTAAAGTTTTTAGGCTGTCTTGGCTGATCTTCACTTCACATAATTTATAATCTAAATTATTATTCTATGCCTACTGGTGACCAGTACAGTATAAAAAGAATATGTAGTTCTACAATTCCTTTCTTATATTATCAGTCCAACTCAACACATACTCCAATAATTTATTTTGATGCTTTAGATAATTTGTTATCATGATGAATTGAATAGCTTTATAAAATATTCTGATTTTTTTAAAAATGCTTTTGTTAAAAAAAGCTAAGTATTTTTTTTTTCTGTGAAAATGGAAGTGTCTTCTTTATTAAAACACTTGCATCTCAGGAAGAAAGTAGTTCTTGAAAATAAGCAAGTCTATGGGATCAGTTTTATACCATCAGCTCACTATCATCTCAACCCATACAAATTACTGAAGTGTCCAGAGGAACACAGTTGAAGATTTTGAGCATTAGGAATGAAATAGAAAGCTGCAATGACAATGAATGAGTGGATGAATGCAAAAAGGTATGAAGATTTTTTCTGGCAATTTAGGCTCCTTGAATGTTGGTGTATTAACTGTTTACTTGTACAATATTTTAAGAAAACTTTCAGGTTTATTGAAAAGTGCTCGTCTTTTTAAAAATGTGAGTAACAAGGCTTTAAGGAGATATTAGATCAGATGCATACATCTACAGTGTTGACTTCTAAGGTTGTTTTTTTTCAGTAAATATATTCTTTGCTTTGGCATAAACCAAGCAATTTCAATCAAAAGCCTCTCTGTGAAGAAGCTTTCCAGTTTTCCATTTCCACTGCTCCTTCTGAAAGTCGTTTTTCACAAGGAAAAAAATAGACATACAAAAGTAAAATTACATAAATGCATAAGAAAAACATATATAAACAAGTTGAACTTTAAAAATAAAATAAAATAATATAAAATTAAATTGAAATTTAAAAAAAAACAACCGATAGAGTGGAAACTAAACATTAACAAAAAACAAGGAAAATATACACTTCTAAGTCTATGTATGCATTTGCATGAATAATTCAGTCTTGGTGTCTAAGTTGCCAATTCAAACTTATTAATTTTACTGTACCTGGTAATAAGTTCTTCTGCAGCTTGTGAGCACAGCTGGATCTGTGCAACTTCTTCTTCTGTAGCCAACTCAACAGCCTGCTGAGGGTACAAGGGAGATCGAATGACAGGTTTACAGGAATCATACTTCTGTTTGTCTTCCCAAGACTTCAAGGTGTTTTCAAAGGCCTAATCAAAATGAATTATACATTCAGTTCACAGCATTTAGAGTATTCTTACTTATTGCAAATTTTTATTTTATATAAATTTTAATTTATATAAAATTTTAGTTAAACAACTTTTAAATCTGATTTTATATAAATAAGCTGTATAAATAATGACATTTAATTTTTTTAAACTTAGTATAAAGAGCAAGCCATTTCCAAAAGCTCTCTCTCTCTCCTCCCTGTTATACTCAATAAGTGTCTTCCAAAACAACAAGAACATAAAGACAGTGATAATACAAGCACATTTTGTGTGGATAGCAAGATCCAAATCTGAAATGAATACAGGATTCAAACTAAAAAATAGTGAGAAAAAGTAACAAATTCACTGAGATAGAGTTCAAATGCCATTAACTCCATCTGAAATTCAACATCCAGTTAGTGGACAGCGAACTGAGGGTCAGTTACACCTTTCACACAGTGATCCTATACAAGTGTGAACTCTCCAGTGGCTTCCTGACTAGATTCTCCTTGTGTCTGAGACTGGGTCATTGGGGAGAGGGAGGATTAGTAGGACAGAGGAGAAAGTTATTCTGAAAAATGGATATTATAAAACTTTGCCATTTATGCAACTGTGCTAAAGCTTCCAGTATCTGATTATGTATGATACACTTAGAGAAGAAGAAGGATAAAAAGAAGAAGGGGGGGGAGGGGGAGAGAGAGAAGGAGAATGGAAGGGAGGGAGGGAGGCAGGGAGGGGGGAAAGAAGAGAGAGAATAGAAAGAGGAGAAAGAGAGAGGAAAGAGAGGAAGGTGAGAGAAAGAAGAGAGGAAGGTGAGAGAAAGAAGAGAGGAAGGGGAGAGAAAGAAGAGAGGAAGGGGAGAGAAAGAAGAGAGAAAGATGAGAGGAAGAAGAGAGAAAGAAGAGAGAAAGAAGAGAGAAAGAAGAGAGAAAGAAGAGAGAAAGAAGAGAGAAAGAAGAGAGAAAGAAGAGAGAAATAAAGAACACATAGAATGTTGACCATTCTTCTTCTTACTAATATTACTAAGAATATGGGAATAGCACTAATAAAACTGATAAAAGCTAACAAAGAGCTGTGTCACACAAAAGAACAATTATCTATCTGGCTTATTACAGAAATTATATAACTGTAAGTAATTGTAAAAGTTATATAAATAGTTATAAAACATTTTTGTAAGCACTGTTTTGTTCATGTTAAAACTGAATCAAACTATTACAGAAACCAATGTTATTAACAGTATCTCATAACACACTTTCTGCAACATACTCTGTCTCGCGTTAGCATCTGAGCTCTGTTTTTATGTATAATTTTAATAACTCCCGGGGGCTGGATCCATGCCTCTCCATCAACTTGCACTGGAACCCCTTCATCACCAAGTATGGTGATCTTTACTGACCGACACTGGAAAAGAACAAACACATTATTTTACAGAGCAATAAATACTAATGAAACTGACGGGCCACCTGAAATATGTTGATTACTAGGAGCTGTGGCTTCCCTCCAGGACTGTCTCAAGGATGAATCACTTTTATACTTCATTTATCACTGAAGACAATTTGTTACCCGTTAAAATTAAAACAACGTCAGTGCTTTATTAATGTATAGGGTGGTGGTCATCAAGAGCACTGCTACTTGCCAGCATCCCAAACTGCTGCCAACCATGGTGCGTGCTTTCAAGTAAGAAACGAACCTGAGCTATCCTGTGGTGCTGCAGTTTGATGACTCTTGAAACTGCCATCTGCATGCTGCCAAATACAGCAACAACTTCCAAGATTTTATCATCGAACGACGGAGCTCCAAATATCTGAAAGGAAAATAAAATATTACAGTTTTGATGGCAAATTTCATGCTTAGATTGCATGTTCAATGAAACACAGATTCATTTACAGATTTGTTTTCAATGTTTAAATGCTCTAACTTATTTACTGTAGAATAACTGTCTCTCAAAAGTCACAGGAGTGAGAAACCGTCGACAGTAGGCAAATATTACTTTAAAACGACAACGCTGATAGCATTTCAAATATCTGAATGATGAGGCATATCCTTATATAGGAAGGATGGCATGTTTCAGCTTGCAGACTAAGAAATGTTTTTCAAGACTAGATGAAAGGCCAATTCAAACCTCTGCTTGGTTAATGTACTTAATATCTAAGAGGTTCTTGAAGTTAAGAGGAGTAATGGTGTCTTTTTTCTCATAAGTGCTTATCTTCTTACATCCTGAATTCTCTGGAAACCAACATCTGAGTCCACGCTTGGCTTTGTTAAACACAGCTTTCATACTGAAGAGGATCTTGTTTGTGCTGTGTACAACTATTACTGTAAATATGAAAACTGCTTTTGTATGGAACAAATGTCCTGATATCCAGCCAGGATGCTGAATTTCCATGAGCCTCCACAAAGCACACAAAGTCTCATGTGTGCCATTGCCACTGGGTGTCCTGCAGGGGAATTCAGCCATGCCACAGGACAAGTCTTAGGCTGGAGTCCAACTAGGTCTGGCAGGAGATACCACACTAAGGTCACTTGAAGCTTGACCATTTCATCCTGATATGCAATGGGGACCAACGAGGGAGAAAAGTCAGCTAGAAAGATCACTCCAGTAAGAGTTTAATGTGTAGAGAGATCATCTCTCCAAGTGGTACTCAGACTTCCTCAGCTGGCACCATGGGCAGAGTAAGCTGCATCAGCAACACCTGAGAGTAACAATTGTTGAAGGTGAAGAATAAGAGGGTGTAGATCCAGGACCATGTAACACATAGTGTCTGCAGCAATGGCTCAGGGAGGGAGATGATGGGGAACAGGGTGAGGGACTTCAGTCCCTGCTGCCCAGCAAGCCAGCAGGAGCCTTCATCCCAGCGCGGTGGACGGTGGCTTTGGCAAGGAGCCTGAGGAGGACTTCTCAGGGAAAGGGTCGCACAGCACAGTTGCCATAGTTCAGTGCCACATTCAGGTGGCACTTGCCCTCAGAGTATCCCAGGATTGCACAGATAGGTCTTCAGCAGGTCAGTGTCACAGAACAAAAATGCAATTTTACTGCGTCTAGACTGTTTTGAAGCAAAAGGTTTTGCCATCTGAATTTTTCCATTTACCACGGGCATGTGGACATCTTAAAAAGAGCAAAGACACTGATTCTGTTCTTCTGAGGTAAAAAAGTATGAAGAATCCTTGATCCAGCTTTAACAAGTATAATTGACATCTACAGGGCAAGTTCAG